ACCGGGCCCCGCGGCCTCCTCGGGGCGCAGGGATCGCCCTGTTTTGCCCTCGGGGCGCTGGCCTGGGCTCTTCGGGTGCTTGCTTGTTAAAAACCTGAGAAGTAAGCTGAGTCATTAACTTCTCTGAACTTCAGGGTGGTACGAAATGCAGTTCATATTTCTGTGGTAAAGGTGAAGGACTCTTTTATAAAGTACATCTGAACAGGGCTACAGGTGTTGGTATTACAAGCAAAGTGTACTCTTCGAGTTGGGTGAAATAATACTGTGTGCTAAGGTGGATCTGTGAGATTGAAAACATGTCTCATGAACGTACACAAAGTTTAGGAATGAAGACAGCCTACTAGTGGGAATCTCCCTGCCTTCCCCCAGCCCAGTGTTTCCCAGGGGACAGGTTTAGGCCTCATTAAATCCTGGAGTTGAGATTTAGACAGATGTGGTACTGCTAAGGTGCTATAGAAAACTTATAAACACTTCTGAAGAATGCTGCTGAGATACGGCATCTTTGCGTTAGCAAATTGTGTGTTTCTGAAATACTTTAACTTACTTGACAGATTTGATGAAAAGGAGAATGTATCAAACTGCATCCAGCTGAAGACTTCAGTTATTAAAGGTATTAAGAATCAGCTGATCGACCAGTTTCCTGTTATTGAACCATGGCTAAACCAAATTATGCCAAAGAAAGACCCAGTCAAAATAGTAAGATGGTAAGTTTCTTTTCTCTTAACCTTTGCTTCTAAGGTGATAGGATTGCTTCCTTTATATGTTTATTTTGTATGGTAGATGAACTGAGTGTTTTTGAAGAGTGTCTTATGGCCAACCCGGAAAGTTTGCGTGTGCTCATCACACTCTTGAAGGCATGTTGGTAGGATGCTTGAGGAAAACGAAGATGCTGTCTAGTAGTGAATGTGCAACGTATTCAGGGACTCTCTCCAGGGTTGTGGAAGGGAGGCATTCAGCTTTATGGATATGGAAGCTTGAACTTGTTCAGATAGCTTCTAATAGCATTTTTTACTATTTTGGGGCTTCCATGTATTATCTGGATTATTACATATATTTTTTTTAAACTAGAGAGTAGTTTACTTTTGCTGATTCTTTCTTGTCTATCTACTTTGTATTGCTTTTTAAAAAACCCAAAGAAATGCAGTTTGTGAACAGCTGGATGTTTGTAGATTTTTTTTTTCTTTTATTTTAAAGGGGAAGGAAGTATGCAGGAAGCCAGTGTTGAAGAACAAGCCATTAAAAAAAGATAATATTTTTAGTTTTAAAATTTCTTGCTAATTGACTGTCTTAATTCTCAGATGTCAAGATAGACCAGACTTTGTGAAGTGAAATAGTTAATTTAAACTATGAAAGGGTTAAGTAGCTGTTGGAACACTTTTTTTTTTTTTTTATCTTGCAGTCATGAGCATATAGAAATCCTCACTGTGAATGGGGAGTTGCTGTTCTTCAGACAAAGAGAAGGGATTTTTTACCCGACGCTAAGGTTGCTTCACAAATGTAAGTTTCCTGGTGGTTGTGGTGGTGGGGAAAGAGGGATGAGCATGAGATTCCACAGGACTTTGGTAGAACTGAATAAAAAAGAAATTACTACTTGGATGCATATATATATACATATATTCCAGAATAGATCTTAAAGATATATTATACCTTCTCAACTGTAATTTACTGCTTTGCTATTTCAGGTGCCTGTATGGATTGTTTCCCCCATAATTATTGCAGTGCTATATGTTAAGCAAGCTAAGCTTTGATTTTCAAGCATTAAATTGTGCAGACCTCTGCAAAGCATCTTGAGAGAGGTTTCCCTAGGACAGAGATCTAAATTTTGTGTTGTTAGTCCCTATCTTTGTTCTTTCAAGTCTTCCTTTAAACCCTTTTTGCTTCCTTCCAAATACTTGTAGGTTCTTACTTGAAAACTATTCTTTAATAATGAGTTTAATGATGTATGCTTGTCTCCTGTAAGAGTTTATGCTGCATGCTTTTTACAATTTATTCTGTTTCATTATTTTTCTTGTGTTCTCACTGTTCTGCTCGATTGTGTTACTCTGCTTTGGATGAGCGTAGGTGTCCCTAAAAATCTTACTCAGCCAAATTTCAGTGTTTGAAATACTTCAAGAAGTTGTGTGCACTTGAAGGATGGCTTGGAGAGCTGACAGCCTTCATGAGTTTTGTCCATCTTTACCTTTTTTGTCCTGTTAACGTTAAGCTGTTTCTCTTTCATGTAAGAGGTTGCACATGTAATTTGAGGGATTTAACACCCACCTCTTAGTAGGTGGGCATTTGCGTGACTGTTGTCACTGGGGAAACTTGTTAAAATTGTTACTTGTTATATGGGTGTATGAGTATGCAGGAGGCGTAGGCCTAGTGTTGGATTACCCTTTGGCTCTCAGATAAAAGATGTGATCTGGGAGAACAGTACTTGTGTCCTTTTGGTACAGTACAGCCCAGCAGGAGCTCCTGTAATTTTTTTTCAAGCTTCTTACCCTCGCAGCACGCTATTTATCTAATTGCCCCATCTAAACTGACTTGATAATGAGTTACTCATGTTGTCATCTTACTGTATTAATTGTAATGCTGTATCTTTCCCCTCCTAGACCCATTTATTCTACCACATCAGCAGGTTGATAAAGGCGCCATTAAATTTGTACTAAGTGGAGCTAATATAATGTGCCCTGGCCTGACGTCTCCTGGAGCAAAACTTTACCCTGCTGCCGTTGATACTGTTGTTGTATCCTTCTTTAACTATGAATTACTGCTTGCTGTGAGATGAGTTAAATTTCTGTTCTTGTGTTCTCATCTGATCATAATCTGAATTACTTTGGATTTTAATGGTATTTCATGGAATAACTAGTAATCTGAGAAGAGCTGCAGAGGTTCAGATGTTATTTGGCAAGATTAAAATTGTTCTTAATTTCTTTTACTTACTGTGA